CGGTGGACGAGTGGATTCGGCGCTCGGAGGAGAATGCCCATGTCCATCTGCAGCGTGCCATCCGTCAACAAAAGGCGAGCGCCGATCGCCACCGCAGTGAGGGACCGGTGTACGCACCGGGAGATCGAGTCTGGCTCTCGACTCAAAACCTGCCCCTCCGCCTGCCCTGCCGGAAGCTGGGTCGGCGGTTTGTGGGGCCCTTCAAAGTCCTGAGAAGATTGAACGAGGTGTGTTACAGGTTACAACTGCCTATAGAGTATAAAAATATTAACCCCTCGTTCCATGTGTCTCTTCTCAGGCCGGTGGTAGCTGGCCCACTCCAAGAAGATGAGATAGGAGAGACCCCTCCGCCCCCTTTGGACATCGAGGGGGTCCCGGCGTACAGGGTCCGGACCATCTTGGACTCGAGGCGCCGGATGAGTGGTCTCCAGTATCTCGTGGAGTGGGAGGGGTACGGTCCGGAGGAACGGTGCTGGGTGCCCAGGAGGGACATACTCGATCCATCCCTCCTGACTGAGTTTCACCGTGGGCATCCCACGCGCCCGGGTCCGCGTCCTCCTGGCCGTCCCCGAGGCCGGGGGTCGGCGCACGGCTGGAGCCGCGCGTCAAGGGGGGGGGTACTGTCACGGTTTCGGCCGAGACTGCTCCTCCTCCTAGTTCGGGCAGGCTTCGGCGTTCGCCGTCCCCGGAGTACTAGCTGCCACCGCTCTATGTTTCGTTATTTGATTGCTTTTGTCTGTCTGTTACACCTGTGTCCATTTGTGTGTTGATTACGTGTCTTATAAGTTCCTTGTTTTGCACTAGAATGATTGTGTGTTGTTATGACTGCCACTGTGTCGGAGCTACGTGTTTGCACCCTGTTTGTTTTGTGTTTAGTGTTTACGCGTGTGCGAAATTTTCCCTCGCCTCTTGGTGTATTTTGAGGTCGGGGTTTTTCTCGTAAACTTTAGACTATTAAAGTCTGTTGGACTTAACCTCTGTGTCCTGCGCCTGACTCCTCCACCACATCCACATCGGTTCAAGTGACAACGTGTACCTATGATGAAAATTACAGGCCTCTCTCATCTTTTTAAGTGGGAGAACTTGCACAATTGGTGGCTGACTAAATACTTTTTTTCCCCACTGTATCATACACTCCAGTTGAGGAAAAATGGGTAAGTAATTCTGCTTTGAAAGTTGATAAACTTGTAACTCCACTTTTGAGAAAATGGCCCTTGAATGTTTTGGTACACCTACTGGAGAGCTCTATTTTTTCTACACCCATTCAGCATCGTTCACACCCTCTTAAGCCTTAGCCACACCCATCTCTTTAAGGATTCTCATGTGAGGCCCTGTGCTAAACAGAGTGAGTAAGGTATTGTATTAAACAACCAAAAATGTCAAGACTAAAAGTGGTGAAAGTAGTAGCAAAAAGTAGTAGTAAACATACACTATCTAGTCCTTGGCCTGTATCCTAATCTGACTTTGGTGCAGGTCAAGTTGTTCTACACAGTAACGTCTCTGGTAAACACACACTATATCAAATAAAGTCAACGTTTATTTGTCACATGCACAGTATACAGAAGGTGTAAACGGTACAGTGAAATGGTTAGTTGCATAGCAGAGTCTTTTGTTTAGACATGTACCTAGCTAGCTAGCTAAACAATTAACCATATTCCCAACCCATACTACTAGCAATAGAAACTGATTGTCATAGCTAGCCACCATGCAGGAATCTGCAGGTAGCTAAAGCTAACCAACTAGGTTCAATGTTAGCTAGCTAGCTAACATTAGGCTATAAGTACCAATGCAAATGTATTTCTGAGATACAAATAATATTTTAACACAGACCATACACATAACGTTAGCTAGCGAGCCAGCCAGCTAACGTTAGCTCGCTAGCTAACAGAACGCTTTTACTAGAAATGAAAACGGCTTTCTGACCAAATTAGAAACATATAATATCTGAACATTTAGCTAAACTCTTACCCGTATACATGGATGAACTCTTCTCCCTCTCTGTCATTGATGCCATGGTTGCCCTTAGTTTAAGATGTAAATTCGGAGACAGGTGTTTTATACAACAGCCATCTGTGTTCTCTTTTCGACTCCCGTCTGCATTTGCAATCATACTCTGCTTCCACCGGGCATTCCACTGATATCAAAAACTCGGTCAACTTCTTCTGTGACAACAACACTGTTGATCGCTGTTTCTTCCCCATCACTGTCATCAGATGACTCTACAATGTCTGGTTCAATGAAAATGTTTTTACTTAAATCAGGGATTTCCTCATCATCTAATTCATTTTCAGAGTCAGAGAGAGTCAGCATGACACGATCGTCCTCCAGAAAGTAGTCCATCACAATGATCTTTGTCGATGGCGCCTGTTAAATTCAAGGGCAGCAATGTTGAGAGCAGTAGCAACACTTGTATTTCTCCATGATATCTTAAAAAAAAAACACGGTAGCAAAGAATATCTACATACACTGAGCAGCTCATGTTACAATGAGGGAAAAAAGTATTGATCCCCTGCTGATTTTGTACATTTTCCCACTGACAAAGAAATTATCAGTCTATAATTTTAATGGTAGGTTTATTTGAACAGTGAGAGACAGAATAACAACAACAAAAATCCAGAAAAACGCATTTCAAAAATGTTATGAATTGACTTGGATTTTAATGAGGGAAATAAGTATTTGACCCCCTCTCAATCAGAAAGATTTCTGGCTCCCAGGTGTCTTTTATACAGGTAACGAGCTGAGGTTGCTTCTAATCTCAGCTAGTTACCTGTATAAAAGACACCTGTCCACAGAAGCAATCAATCAATCAGATTCCAAACTCTCCACCATGGCCAAGACCAAAGAGCTCTCCAAGGATGTCAGGGACAAGATTGTAGACCTACACAAGGCTGGAATGGGCTACAAGACCATTGCCAAGCAGCTTGATGAGAAGGTGACAACAGTTGGTGTGATTATTCGCAAATGGAAGAAACACAAAAGAACTGTCAATCTCCCTCGGCCTGGGGCTCCATGCAAGATCTCACCTCGTGGAGTTGCAATGATCATGAGAACGTTGAGGAATCAGCCCAGAACTACACGGGAGGATCTTGTCAATGATCTCAAGGCAGCTGGGACCATAGTCACCAAGAAAACAATTGGTAACACACTGAAATCAGGACTGAAATCCTGCAGCGCCCGCAAGGTCCCCCTGCTCAAGAAAACACATATACAGGGCCGTCTGAAGTTTGCGAAATTGATTTATCCGACATAGGTTACATGTTGTGGTTGCGTGAGGCATTTGAAGCTCACAGAATCAAACAAACACTTAAAAACAGGCAACAGAAGCAGCATCTGTCTAATTTCTGAAGATATACAGTATATGGATGTTTTATAAACCAAGATATAAGTTGTTGATTATATTCAAGTTTTCCCCTCTCCTCACTTTTCTCAGACAAGGCACAGGTTTTTCCCTCTCTCCTCAATTCGCTCGCTGCTGTCTCTGCCTCGTTGTTGTCAACACCAGTGTAAATGTATTCATACAACAACGGTTAACTTTCGCAAAATAGCAACATTGTATAGGGAAAGGTGCGGCCGTTTTCTGGAAATCTGGCTTTTTGGGGGGGGGGTTCGGGCTCATTACATTTCTGTGATGTCGGACCGCGCCTGGGCTCGGGATTCAGCTCATCGGGCTTGGGTCAGACCGGGCTCAATGAGAACTCTAATAGCCTGTGAGAGAGCAGTGCAGCGTGGGAGGATAAGCAGAGCGAGAGAGAGAAGAGGGGGAGGAGTAGGAGGAGAGCGAGAGAAGATGAGAGGAGAGGAGAGTCCCCATAGTCTCTGTCTCACTCTTCCTCCTATACACTCACAGTAAAATAGTTCCTCTTAGCTGAGTGTTTTTCCCTAAGTGTGCTGTGCCCGATCACGGCCTTGGACACTTACATTACACAGACACAGGCAATACGACAGTCTGATCGGCTATTCGTTTGCTATGGTGAGAGAGTTCTGGGCCAGAGCCTATCGATACAAAGACTCTCACATTGGTTTGTGGACACTATTGCTACAGCATATCATCTGGCCAGCCGGCCTCTGCTGTAGTAGCACATTCTACTAGAGGTGTAGCTACATCGTGGGCCCTGCTCCGAGGAGTTCCCCTCAATGACATTTGCGCCTCGGCCAGTTGGGCATCGACTAGCACCTTTTTTCTAGGTACTATCGAGTCAATGTTGCACCCGCCAATGAGGTTGGGACGGCTATGCTGAGTGTTGCTTCCGAGGGACACAGCAACTATGACTACCCTGAGCTCAGTCCTATGGGACTTTGCTCTCTGTCTGGCCCTTACCTAGTTCACCAATTAATCTGGTATTGTGATACCATATGTGACAGACCGCCTCGATTCGGTCTTATGTAGCAACATTTGAAATTGTGTTTTTTACATTGGATAAAAGTACAGACTCAGAGCTAGAAAATTGTATATCATAAACTTCAGTTGAGGAACAATGGTAATTCTGCTTTGAAAGTTGATAAACTTGTAACCCCACTGTTCAAGGCATTCGTAGTCGATCGCCTAACATTTCTGTAGAAAAGCTGATAAAGCCTTGCGCTACTATTTGTTTTAAATTCAAGTGCGCCTATTGCTGGCCAATTGGATAGCTCAAATCACTGTGCCTGCACCTTCTACGACCCCACAGCAACATTTGATACTATGTGAGATTTCATAACCTTTCTCTATATTTAGCCTGTAGCCCCTCTCTCGCTCACCCATACCACTGGCATTCCCAAATCAGAGCAGGGAGAGACAGCACTGCCATTCAGAGGAGTCTGAGAGACTGCGTGGATGTGTACTTGTATAGCCTACATGTATAGGAAGTGTATAGGAAGTTTATATATTTTTTAAACAAAAATAGTAATTTAGCAGACACTGTTATCAAGAACGAGTTACAGGAGCAATTAGGGTTAAGTGCCTTGCTCAAGGGCACATTGACAGATTTTTCGACTCGGGGATTCAAACCAGCGAACTTTCGGTTACTGGCCCAACGCTCTTAACAACTAGGCTACCTGCGGCATGTATTAGTATGTGCAGCATGATTGGTGTGTTATGTGGCCTGTATGTGGGTGTAGTAGGTCTGTGTATGTTTATAGAAGGTTTGTGTGTACAAGAAGATAGTGTGTGTGTGTGTGGAGAAGGTGGTGTGTAGGCAGTAAGTGTGTGTGTGCAAGAAGTTAGTCTTCACTCCATCCTGTCAGTCAGTTGGTGAACTTTAACCACACGCTGCCCTCCCTGTGGTTGTCATGGAGGTCGGTGGTGAGTTGGTGATTCGGTTACCGGGGCGATCCCGTTCCCCGGACAACAACGGCAACAGTAACTTTGGGTTAGGCGATTTTGGCCAGACAATGGTGTTACGGCACAAAGAGGTTCACCACTTCTTCTTGGTCCCCTTCAGGGAGCAACCGATCTACAGCACGCAGGCCCATGCGTTCCAGATTGACCCCAACACCAAGAAGAACTGGGTGCCCACCAGTAAACACGCTGTCACCGTGTCCTACTTCTATGACAGCACCCGCAACGTCTACCGCATCATCAGCCTCGACGGCACCAAGGTAAAGGCTACTTATACTGCTTATAACACGTAGCCCTCTCCTGAGATACTAAACATCCTCTTATGCCTCTATGGTATGGCCACTTGCATGTCTTTTTTTTCTCACACTGTGCAGGTCTTTATGGACATTGTTAGTTCCTGTATTTTTGGTTGGTTGAGTACGACATAGGAGCTGCACTGTGATATTGCAAAAGCAGTAGGTTTTTCACCTGCTACATTGGAAGCATAACTTTTGTCTAGCATGGGCAGTGTGAGCTACTTCAAGTGTTCTCAATTGTGACCTGCGTGTGGAAATCTTGAAAATAGAACCAGAGTGTAAGTTTACGAGCATCTTGCAGAGCCGCACTGCTTACACCCAGGTTTCATTGAATTGGAGCGTCTCACACTCAGCAAAGGTTAAGTGTCTAATGTAGCAGGCCAGTAAGTTACATGTGAGACAAGCATCTTTAAAAAGCATAGTAGAAGGGCCATGACCTTTTGTAGCCTGTAGCTACAAAAAAATGTTGGTTCATTGGAAACCTTGAAGAAAATTCTAAAGACATTAGATATAAGGTGACTGCACACCCAAAAAAAATGTGGTGGCCACTGCACTAACATTGCACCATCATCCAATGCCAAGGGAAAGATAACTAGCACCATTTTATCACATCCAGTTCAGTGGGTTTGTCCAGTGTTAATGGCCGATTTAATGTACAAACATGTCAGTGGGTGGACAGCATAGCTAATGCTGGCATTATTCAGCCGAGTGGCAGAATGTAGAATGTGTTTATTCAGCTCATGTGTCATACAGAGCCAGGAGTGACCTGATATGATAGGTATGTGTGTGTGTGTGTGTGTGTGTGTGTGTGTGAATGCCTTACTGTCTGATAGTGACAGGGTCCATTTTAGGTCTGGACTTAAGTCCACTCTCTTGTCCTCCTATCGGGTTTTCTTGTAGTGCTGGAACTGTATAGGTACAGTATATCCCTCCATAAATGAGGCAAGGAACATTTTGATCAGGGTACTGTTCAAAGCTCCTTTGACTGTTCCACAGAATCTCCTATGCATCATGAGCTGCCAGCTAAGAGGTTGTTACCATGACTAACTCTTACTAAAAAACCTATGAATACAGTTTGAATGCTAAGTGTTATAAGTCGGTTATAATTTGATCTAATCTAGTGTGTGTGTTTGTTCCTGTAGGCGATAATCAACAGCACCATCAGCCCCAACATGACCTTCACCAAGACGTCTCAGAAGTTTGGCCAGTGGGCCGACAGCAGAGCAAACACTGTTTATGGCTTGGGCTTCTCTACTGAACACCACCTGACCAAGGTACACACATGCACACACGCATCTCTTAAAAGTGGGTGGTGTCTACCACTCCCTCCTGAACTGTGGGAGGCATTCCCCCCCTCTTTTTCTCTCTCTGTCTTCCCTCTGCGCTTTCTCTCTCTCTCTTCTTTACTGTTCTTTCTCTCTTCTTGCCGGGTAACTCTTCCACTTTTAGCCCTAATGAGGCACTGTGTGTTTGTGTCTGTGTGTGTGTGGATGTGGGCGGGTGCTTCTTTCCTCTGCAGTATGATTAAGTTATGTCGTGAGCCGGGGGAGGCACACAGCAGCCCTACTCTCAGACATGACGCATATGCACACATGCACAAACACACACACACACACAGTCTTGTACAGCTAACCTTGTGGGGACACACAATTAAGTCCCATTCAAAATCCTATTTTCCCTAACCTAACCCTAACCCGTACTCTTACCCTTACCCTAACCTTAACCATAACCCAACCTTAAACCTAAACCTAACCCTAGCACCTAACCCTAACTCCATAACTAACCCTAGCTCCTAACCCTAACCGTAATTCTAACACTAATTCTAACCTTAACCCTAAACCCCCTAGAAATAGCATGTGGGGACTAACAAAATGTCCACAGTTGGTCAAATGTTTGTTTGTTTACTATTCTTATGGGGACTTCTGGTCCCCACAAGAATAGTTACACATGTCCACACACACACACACACACACACACAGACACACACAGACAGACAGACAGACAGAGAATAAGCAGAATCATAATGTTCTTAATCTTATAATCATTAATGTTAATTTCATGATTAGGGAAATTAATATTGGGTATAGATTCTCAATCAGTATCCCACTAGTATTCCAATAGTGTAATGAACCCTCTGGGCACACACTGGTTGAATCAACGTTGTTTCCACATAATTTCAATGAAATTACGTTGAACCAACATTGAATAGACGTCTGTTCCCAGTGGGAACAGTGACAGCCTACAGGGAGGAGGTGAGGGCTCTCAGAGTGTGGTGTCAGGAAAATAACCTCTCACTCAACGTCAAAAAAACAAAGGAGATGATCGTGGACTTCAGGAAACAGCAGAGGGAGTACCACCCTATCCACATCGACAGGATAGCAGTGGAGAAGGTGGAAAGTTTTAAGTTCCTCGGCGTGCAACACTGACAAACTGAAATGGTCCACCCACACAGACAGTGTGGTGAAGAAGGCGCAACAGCGTCTCTTCAACCTTAGGAGGCTGAAGAAATTTGGCCTGTCACCTAAAATCCTCATAAACTTTTACAGATGCACAATTGAGAGCATCCTGTCGGGCTGTATCACCGCCTTGTACTGCAAATGCACCGCCCACAACCGCAGGGCTCTCCTGAGGGTGGTGCAGTCTGCACAACGCATCACCGGGGGCAAACCTACCTGCCCTCCAGGACACCTACAGCACCCGATGTCACAGGAAGGCCAAAAAGATCATCAAGGACAACTACCACCCGAGCCACTGCCTGTTCACCCCGCTATCATCCAGATGGCGAGGTCAGTACAGGTGCATCAAAGCTGGGATCGAGAGACTGAAAAACAGCTTCTATCTCAAGGCCATCAGACTGTTAAACAGCCATCACTAGCACAGAGAGGCTGCTGCCTACATAGACTTGAAAATCACTGGCCACTTTAATAAATGGAACACTAGTCACTTTAATAATGTTTACATATCTTGCATTACCCATCTCATATGTATATACTGCATTCTATACTATCTATTGCATCTTAGGCTATGCCACTCTGATAATGACATTGCTCATCCATATATTTATATATTCTTATTCCATTCCTTTACTTAGATTTGTGTATTAGGTTTTTGTTGTGGAACTGTTAGATATGACTTGCTAGATATTGCTGCACTAGCATTTCTCTACACTCACAATAACATCTGCTAACCATGTGTATGTGACCAATACATTTGATTTGATTTGATTTGGAAGACGTAGGAGGTGTCGCTCACACTAAGACTACACTAAGACTAGTGAATCTAGTTGGTTTGAGTAACATGGTGCCACCAGATTTGTGGCTTTGAGTCCCATATACAGTGGGGAGAACAAGTATTTGATACACTGCCAATTTTGCAGGTTTTCCTACTTACAAAGCATGTAGAGGTCTGTAATTTTTATCATAGGTACACTTCAACTGTGAGAGACGGAATCTAAAACAAAAATCCAGAAAATCACATTGTATGATTTTTAAGTAATTAATTTGCATTTTATTGCATGACATAAGTATTTGATCACCTACCAACCAGTAAGAATTCCAGCTCTCACAGACCTGTTAGTTTTTCATTAAGAAGCCCTCCTGTTCTCCACTCATTACCTGTATTAACTGCACCTGTTTGAATTTGCTACCTGTATAAAAGACACCTGTCCACACACTCAATCAAACAGACTCCAACCTCTCCACAATGGCCAAGACCAGAGAGCTGTGTAAGGACATCAGGGATGGGATGGGCTACAGGACAATAGGCAAGCAGCTTGGTAAGAAGGCAACAACTGTTGGCGCAATTATTAGAAAATGGAAGAAGTTCAAGATGACGGTCAATCACCCTCGGTCTGGGGCTCCATGCAAGATCTCACCTCGTTGGGCATCAATGATCATGAGGAAGGTGAGGGATCAGCCCAGAACTACACGGCAGGACCTGGTCAATGACCTGAAGAGAGCTGGGACCACAGTGTCAAAGAAAACCATTAGTAACACACTACGCCGTCATGGATTACAATCCTGCAGCGCACGCAAGGTCCCCCTGCTCAAGCCAGCGCATGTCTAGGCCCGTCTGAAGTTTGCCAATGACCATCTGGATGACCCAGAGGATGAATGGGAGAAGGTCATGTGGTCAGATGAGACAAAAATATAGCTTTTTGGTCTAAACTCCACTCGCCGTGTTTGGAGGAAGAAGAAGGATGAGTACAACTCCAAGAACACCATTCCAACCGTGAAGCATGGAGGTGGAAACATCATTCTTTGGGGATGCTTTTCTGCAAAGGGGACAGGATGAGTGCACCGTATTGAGGGGAGGATGGATGGGGCCATGTATCACGAGGTCTTGGCCAACAACCTCCTTCCCTCAGTAAGAGCATTGAAGATGTGTCGTGGCTGGGTCTTCCAGCATGACAACGACCCGAAACACACAGCCAGGGCAACTAAGGAGTGGCTCCGTAAGAATCATCTCAAGGTCCTGGAGTTGCCTAGCCAGTCACTAGACCTGAACCCAATAGAACATCTTTGGAGGGAGCTGAAAGTCCGTATTGCCCAGCGACAGCCCCGAAACCTGAAGGATCTGGAGAAGGTCTGTATGGAGGAGTGGGCCAAAATCCCTGCTGCAGTGTGTGCAAACCTGGTCAAGACGTACAGGAAACGTATGAACTCTGTAATTGCAAACAAAGGTTTCTGTACCAAATATTAAGTTCTGCTTTTCTGATGTATCAAATACTTATGTCATGCAATAAAATGCAAATCAATTACTTAAAAATCATACAATGTGATTTTCTGGATTTTTGTTTTAGATTCCGTCTCTCACAGTTGAAGTGTACCTATGATAAAAATTACAGACCTCTACATGCTTTGTAAGTAGGAAAACCTGCAAAATCGGCAGTGTATCAAATACTTGTTCTCCCCACTGTACATGGGACACATACTGTATTGCTGAATATAAACTTACTCAATGTATGACTAAACTGCAAGTTTAAGTCAACAGCTGGTGACTCAATAAAAATTAAGCCCATCCCACAGAGGGAGAGAGAGGGAGAGCGAAGTGAGAAAGAGGAGATGGAGCCATGCTTTCCCAGTTTGTCTGTGTTTATTTCTGTTTCTAATGTTCCTATGATGTTACTATGTCTCTCTGCGTTTTTCTGTGTCTGCGCACTCGCATGGGTTTTACTGTAAGGGTTACTGTGCCTCTCTCTGGTTGACCTACATAGCTCACATTTCTACTGAGGTAGGGGCCTCCATTCCACAGCCCAACTGTTGGATGTCAAATCAGATGCCTCCCATTTGGTCACTACTGACAACCTCCTCTACCCTCTTAATACTAACATACTAGTGTGTGTTTTTAGTGTGTGCACAGGTGTACCCTAAAGTGACAATAAATATTTTGTACTAGAGCTAGAAATTGACGTTCTATCTCTCTGAGTATATGACCAGTCTCTGTCTCTCTCCAGTTTGCAGATAAGTTTTCAGAGTATAAGGAGGCAGCTCGTCAGGCCAAGGAAAAAAGTCAAGATGGGAAGATGGAACCAAACTCCCAGGTACTCACACTAAAAAAGTCACAACACTCTCCTGTGGTACTTCATAAGTTAACAGCTGGAAAAAAAGAACCATGCAACAAACAGATGAACTTGTAAATCCTTGCATTCGTTAGATTATTGCGTTTTCTCTGCATATTTAATTGTCCTCTTTTCAACAGAAATTGAAGAAATTAGGTTGTTTTTAAGATTCAATCCCCAGAGTCCCCCCTCTTTAAAAACCAGCTAAAAACACTCTCAAGTCCAGGGAAACCCTGCTAGTTTACTACACGTTACGTCAGTTTACATCACATCATTACATAAACGGAAAACAAGATGCTGATGAACGGACAAGGTTCCTCCATCCAGAAATGAATTGATGCTGCACTAAATATGTCGGCACAATGGAAATGGACATTGTTGCACATGTAGAAGTCTGAGAACAGAATTGAGAGTATGATAAGCATAAATTAACCCAACCGTCCCAAATATTAACTTCAATATGGCCACTTAAAAATGCAGATTATGGAATAATACTTTTAATGGGAATGTCCTGAATATAATTTCCTACAGTGATTAAGTCTTAGTTATCCCTGTCCATCAGGCTTACATGGTGCATGGTTTGAGTGTGTACAATGGGCAGTTTATAACCCCTTAATTGTTTTGTTTCATGTAATTAAAGTGGGTAAATGTTTAGTTTGGTCACATAGGCTTAACTGTTTGGGAAATAAAGATAAACGTTTATCTGCAATTTCTCTGAGCTACAATAAGCTTTGGCAGGCAGAACAGCTCAGTAATGTCCTCTTTGTAATACAGAGCTAGGAGCTTATCACCAGATTCTCCTATCAGTCTCTCTTTTTTTCTCTCTTTTTTCTTTCTTTCTCATTTTCTCGATCTTATCTCACGCCGAAACAGAGGAAGAAGATGACTGCTGAATCTCCTCATAAAAAAAATGACTTGGGTCAATTTGAGCACATTTCATTCTCATACATTGCTTGCTCTTTGCTAGATAAATCCAGAATCGCTGTTCAGCACTTTCAGACTAATGGGTTTCATAAGAAGCACTGTAAACAATTCTATAATTATATGTTGATTGATGGTTTGATTGCTTGTCCTGTATGTAGGAGTCGCCAGCAGTTGAACTCTCCTCACCTCTGACTCCTGTGACTCCTCCCGCCATGGACAACATCAACGGGACAGATGACCCCTGTGACATAACACCCGAGCCCCGTCCTGAACCGTCTCAGAACGCACTGGCCTTCACACACAGGTAACACACACAGGGGTGTTAACAGGGTGTTGTGCTGTGCGTGTGTTTGTGTGTGTGTGTGTGTGTGTGTGTGTGTGTGTGTGTGTGTGTGTGTATGCACTGAGTGTACAAAAAACACTTTCCATGTCCATAGACTGACCAGGTGAATCCAGGTGAACGCTATGATCCCTTATTGATGTCAGCTGTTAAATCCACTTCAATCAGTGTAGATTAAGAGACAGGTTAAATAAGGATTTTCAAGCCTTGAGACAATTGAGACATGGATTGTGTATGTGCACAATTCAGATGGTGAATGGGCAAGACAAACAATTAAAGTGCCTTTGAACGGGGTATGGTAGTAGGTGCCAGGCGCACTGGTTTGAGTGTGTCAAGATCTGCAATGCTGCTTTTTCAAGAATGGTCCATCACCCAAAAGACATCCAGCTAACTTGACACAACTGTGGGAAGCATTGGAGTCAAAATGTGCCAGCATTCCTGTGGAAAGCTTTCGACACCTTGTAGTGTCCATGCCCTGACAAATTGACGCTGTTCTGAGGGAAGATGTTCTTTAGGTTTTGTGTATGTGTATGATCTCACTTTAAGGGTTAAGATATTACCACTGTAAACATCTGCTAGTATCTGTCCTTCTGTCCCTCAGTCTGAAGAACAAACCCTTTTTGTATGTCAGGGGAACAGACAGGAGTAACAAAACATCTGTTCATTATTTGATTATTTTTATAGCTCACAGGTAGATGCTTCCAGTTTGCAGAATGAGTGCGCAAGGCTGATTTAAGATAAGGTGTGTGTGTTTGTGGGCACTGGGCAGTAGTTGTATATAGTTGGAAGGACAGAAAGAGTGTCACTCAGTGTCTATGTGTATGATGGGGTAAGTGTGTGTGTGTGCCACATGTATTGTTTCAAATCTTGGTTTTGTTTAAACTTTATTGTATGAAGACTCCCTTTTTTCTAAATCCCCCTCTATTTGTATCTTTTCTTTCCAGGGAGCAGTATAAAGCCTGTCGGGTCTGCTCTTTCTGATAGCTTTCTATACAAGTTCTGAGATAGGAGCTCTTTACACTACCTACCCTAACCTCTATAGCTACTAGACCACTAACATCTTGACTATACCACCTCTATACTGTAGCACACTGATGAAATCACATTCTCAACATCTGTACTATAACCTGAGTTAAGAGAAATCACACTCTTGCTATCAGACTTATACTCCTTTATGATTATATCTCCCTCATTGAAAAGCAGAGGTCACTAAAAAACTCCTCAAATGTGACTGACCCCTTGAGTGAAAAACACTGACGCCTTGGTTGGTTCTCTTACTATACTGAACAAAAACATAAACGGAACTTGCAACAATTTCTAAGATTACATTTCATATGAGGAAATCAGTCAATTTAAATAAAAAATGTGGCCCTAATCTATGGATTTCACATGACTGGGAATACAGATATGCATTTGTTGGTCACAGATACCTTAAAACAATGGGCCTCACAATGTGCCTCAGGATCTCAACACGGTATTTCTATGCATTCAAATTGCCATAGATAAAATGCAATTGTGTTCGTTGTCTGTAGCTTATGCCTGCCCATACCATAACCACACCGCCACCATGGGGAACTCTGTTCACAACGTTGACATCAGCAAATCGCTCGCCCACACGACGCCATACACGTGCTCTGCGGTTGTGAGGCCGGTTGGACGTACTGCCAAATTCTCTAAAACGACGTTGGAGTTGGCTTATGGTAGAGAAATTAACATTAAATTCGCTGGCAACAGCTCTGGTGGACATTCCTGCAGTCAGCATGCCAATTGCACGCTCCCTAAAAACTTGAGACATCTGTGGCATTGTGTTGTGTGACAAAACTGCACATTTTAGAGTGGCCTTTTGTTGTCCCCAGCACAAGGTGCACCTGTGTAATGACCATGCTGTTTATTCAGGTTATTGATATGCCACACCTGTCAGGTGGACGGATTATCTTGGCAAAGAGGAAATTCTCACTAACAGGGATGTAAACAAATTTGTGCACCAAATTTGAGAGAAGTAAGCTTTTTGTGCGCATGGAACATTTCTGGGAGCTTTTATTTCATCTCATGAAACATGGGACCAACACTTTACATGTTGCGTTTATATTTTTGTTCAGTGTAAATGTTATACTTAATGGATTACATTATTATATCAAAATGTCTTATTATAACGCTATTATAGCTCCTTCTTTGTTTTATTGCAAAAATAGTTTTTAGTTTTTATTATTATTAGTCCCGTTGGCACTTTCCACACTTTTCCCATTGATCTCTATACATCACTTGTAAGAATTATGTTGTTTAGAAATTGAACTTGGTTAGCTAGCCCTCAGAGACTTATCTTTGTTAATCTGTGTATATTCTTGTGATTTTGTGTCATCTCTCTTAAAGGGCAAGTTGTCTTACCTCTCTTGTATTAACTTTTTTTTTTATAGACAGCATGTTGTTTTTATGATGTCATACAGTACTTTACAGTATGTCAAGATTTGGGGCAAAGAATGCTGCCGTCTATACATTTCTGGGTCTATGATCAGATACTACATATTGATTATGTTCATAGATATTGAATAATGATGACTGAATATTTATTTAAATAGCTCAAGTCCTACCACACAGGGACTAGTTTTAAGGTTCTTCTCCTGAGGGTGTTGATAGAGGATTTATGTAACTCTTGTATAACATATGCGGTGGGGGAGAGGGAAGGAGGGAGGGAGAGGGAGAAGGAGAGGGAGAGGGGTGCAGTGCAGTGTCTAAGGGCCTGTCTGTGTGTCACTGCCACCTAAACATGATCTTACTGCAGATACAAACACTCGCACACACACACACTTATGCACGTACACAGACCAACACCATGCACTACACTATGCCAAAATACTGCACCAATAACCAGAATTGATTTGTTCTTATTTATTGCACAATAAAGACAAATAAAACTTCATTTTCAACATAAATAATCAAGAACAATTTTATTGAGTACAATAATACATATTTCAAATACTATATGTGTAGTCAAGCATCCCAGTAGTGTATTCATAATATTTTCGAGTACCCACTGGAGACTGACATTTCACTGTGCAGAATGAATAAGACAAAATCTATGTATTGCCTGGCCGTAAAGATCACTATGATTGTGGTTCGTATTGATTAAAGTCATCAATAAATTGATCAATATATTGTTGATTTTTTTCGATTTATTAGTTTGTCTATTACTTAACTGATATTCTGCAACTGTATTAACCCTCTGTAGTGCAGTCAGTGTGGTGAGAATTTGCAGAGGTGCTCTTTAAACACACACACAACCACAAACACTTTGGTACAGATCTGCTGATGCTGCTACTATTGCTGTGTGTGTGGGAGTCAGGACTGACTCTTTGACTCATGCAAACACACACACACACACACACACACACACACACACACGCGGGATGTGGTGTTACTTTGGTGTTACTTTGTGAATACCAGCTGGTGTTTCTTTTTAAGCTGTTGTTAAAAAATACTGTTGTTCAATCAGGGTGTTAAATTGGCCAGTGTTACCTAGTGTTGATTTTTCGGTGTTACATTTCTAGTGTTGATTCAGGTGTTTAATTAACATTAATTGGTGTAAAAAAAAAACATGTTGGTGATAATAACAAGTGTTAAACCAAAACTACGCCCATCATTATCATATTTCCCAACATGCTCTATTGCAGGTTGATTTTTATAATTGTTTTTCTTCGAAATCTATGTCTTTGACTGATTATATAAACCCTAGAGTCGATCTAATTAGTATAATTTAAAAAATCCCCATCAAAGTACGTCAGTTTAAGCTAGAGATATCAGTTTACATTGGATGTGTCTCAATCCACCACATCCGTCGATGTTGCACTTCCACATTTGTGGTGTTTGTCAGACCTTGAAACATTGGTCTTCTCACGAAAACGTATGTACAGTGAGGGAAAAATGTATTTGATCCCCTGCTGATTTTGTACGTTTGCCCACTGACAAAGAAATGATCAGTCTATAATTTTAATGGTAGGTTTATTTGAACAGTGAGAGACAGAATAACAACAAAGAAATCCACAAAAAAACGCATGTCAAAAATGTTATAAATTGATTTGCATTTTAATGAGGGAAATAAGTATTTGACCCCCTCTCAATCAGAAAGATTTCTGGCTCCCAGGTGTCTTTTATACAGGTAACGAGCTGAGATTAGGAGCACACTCTTAAAGGGAGTGCTCCTAATCTCAGCTTGTTACCTGTATAAAAGACACCTGTCCACAGAAGCAATCAATCAATCAGATTCCAAACTCTCCACCATGGCCAAGACCAAAGAGCTCTCCAAGGATGTCAGGGACAAGATTGTAGACCTACACAAGGCTGGAATGGGCTACAAGACCATCGCCAAGCAGCTTGGTGAGAAGGTGACAACAGTTGGTGCGATTATTCGCAAATGGAAGAAACACAAAATAACTGTCAATCTAACTCGGCCTGGGGCTCCATGCAAGATCTCACCTTGTGGAGTTGCAATGTTCATGAGAATGGTGAGGAATCAGCCCAGAACTACACGAGAGGATCTTGTCAATGATCTCAAGGCAGCTGGGACCATAGTCACCAAGAAAATAATTGGTAACACACTGCGCCGTGAAGGACTGAAATCCTGCAGCGCCCGCAAGGTCCCCCTGCTCAAGAAAGCACATATACAGGCCCGTCTGAAGTTTGCCAATGAACATCTGAATGATTCAGAGGAGAACGTGTTGTGGTCAGATGAGACCAAAATCGAGCTCTTTGGCATCAACTCAACTCGCCGTGTTTGGAGGAGGAGGAATGCTGCCTATGACCCCAAGAACACCATCCCCACCGTCAAACATGGAGGTGGAAACATTATGCTTTGGGGGTGTTTTTCTGCTAAGGGGACAGGACAACTTCACCGCATCAAAGGGACGATGGACGGGGCCATGTACCGTCAATTCTTGGGTGAGAACCTCCTTCCCTCATGGGTCGTGGATGGGTATTCCAGCATGACAATGACCCAAAACACATGGCCAAGGCATCAAAGGTGTGGCTCAAGAAGAAGCACATTAAGGTCCTGGAGTGGCCTAGCTGAAGGTTCGAGTTGCCAAACGTCAGCCTCAAAACCTTAATGACTTGGAGAAGATCTTCAAAGAGGAGTGGAACACAATCCCTCCTGAGATGTGTGCAAACCTGGTGGCCAACTACAATAAACGTCTGACCTCTGTGATTGCCAACAAGGGTTTTGCCACCGAGTACTAAGTCATGTTTTACAGAGGGGTCAAATACTTATTTCCCTCATTAAAATGCAAATCAATTTATAACATTTTTGACATGCGTTTTTCTGGATTTTTTTGTTGTTATTCTGTTTCTCACTGTTCAAATAAACCTACCATTAAAATTATAGACTGATCATGTCTTTGTCCGTGGGCAAACGTACAAAATCAGCAGGGGATCAAATACTTTTTTCCCTCACTGTAGCGTCCGAATGGTTTGCCCTACAAACTATGGAAAGATGAGACTCTCACGAACACGATGGTGTTCTCCGTTTTGCAGAAGAATCTTGGGACCTGTCTGAAGTCGGTACAGTCGATCTGCCAACTTCTGTCTGTAGCGTCCGAACAGTTTGGGCTACACACTAATATGACCCCTTTTTGCGGACTATCTATTGTTCCATGTTGTGAATCTGTTATTCAATGCGTTTGTATGGGCTAATAGCAGTAAGGCCACATTTTAATAGTAAAAAATCTAATTCAAAATGAAATGGCTAAATTATCCTTGGTATGACCTTCTTAAAACAATTCCGTATAGCGTAGTAGAACCCCCCCCCCCCCCCCCCCCCCCAATCTGTTACTTGGACTTAAAGCACCTGTTACTGAAATGGTTGTTCCAGTTTAGATGCTTTAGGTAGTCTCATATTTTAGTCTTCCCAACCCGGCAGCAGTGGTGTAAAGTACTTAAGTAGATTTTGTGGTATCTCTACTTTACTTAACTTTTTTTTTTTTGGACAACTT